CCCCCCGTGCCCAAAGAGGCACCATCACTTAATTTCGAAAAATTTAATTCGGTAGATCAGAGATGCTCATAATTACTCGTCACTATAATTCCTAGTTCCATTACTGCCCTTTCTGTGACATCACAAATGAAAAAAGGTTAGGATATCTAACAAAATACACATTTTCCTTTAAAGTCTCAATTTAAACCGCTTTTTTAAGGTGAAGCACCAGCCGCTGTTGCATCAGTTTGCTGTCGCACTTTAGTCACGATTAGCAACTAGCCTTTCACGTTTTTCGCATGTCTCCCGATAAAAAACACAGAACGCGTTTAGATTTAGTAGCTATAGCTAAAACCGGTGCCGTCTAGTCAGATTGGTCCTGCCGTACTTATATTTTGCTTGTTTAGTGCACAACTATTAATTTTGAAGTTTTCTGACTCGGTTTTGTGCTTTTTATCTTATTTAGGTTTGCTTTTCAGCAGGTTTTACACCAGTTTAGTTAGCTTTTGCTCTCAGTAGCTTGTGCCTTTTTTTTGCATTTTTTTCACACCACATTACCGGCACCTCTTTGAAAGCGGAATGAAGCTATCGCATCGACTGCTGCACAGAATCCTCCAGTTCTTTACGTTTCTTAACTCTTATTCGATAGCTGGAAAGACTCTTCTGCATAAGCCTCAAATATGATGCTGAAAAACCGGCCAAAAACGCATGATGCGTGCAAAATAATTTTGTGTTCTCTATCGTTATGCTTATGCTGATTTACTGATTTGCGGTCATCTTGCACAATTTTTCAATACTGCACGCTCGTCTGTATGCTGTTCACTTTCACTTTTCCCTATGCATTGAATAATTTAAGGCCATAGAGTAACCACAGTTTTTCCGACAGAACTCGAAATTTGTGGCAGCAGATGATGAAGGATTTTTAACGATTCTTGTCTATGAACGTAACGATCATGTTATTGGTCGGCGGAAATTTTTTAGGCACAAAATATTTTTCGCTTCGCTTAGTCTTATCACATTTTCATGCAACCAGCGCAGCTCACAATTTTTCCGCGATTACTTTAACCGCAAACAATTTGCCTGCTGGTAGTCCGCTATCGATTCTGGCGTTCGTTTCCTTGCTGCTACCTTGTTTTCCGAAACTATGTGCGCTTGTTTCCTGCTCCACTTCTGTGAACCTTTAGTTCATCTACTTATATCCGCCCTAGAATGTGATGTACTAGGAATTAATTGTACATAATTTTCCAAAATCACTGGACTACCACTGCAGATGTATCCAGAACTACAGTAGAAGGGTAAATACATGTCTTTGAACTGTAAAATGTAATAGATAAAATATTGTAGAAACTCAGATTATGAAGTTTGAGACGAATCCCAGTACCCATGTCTTGTTTTCCTAGCTGCACCAGTAGATTCAGGAAGTTATTATTTTCATACCCGACGCATCAGGCACAAAAATGAGGGCATAACAAAAGTTGCATTCTTTGATAAAATGTTCTGGTTATGGTAGAAATAAACTTCTCAATCCAAAAGCGTTTAGGAACCATCTGAAAAGCTGACAGATGAGCCGGTGCATCCCGAAGCCGAAAAAGAAGTACCAAAAATGGAGGAGCAGCTGCCCAAGTGAGTTCACGAATTTCAGGTCGCAAGGATTTCCTTTTTTGAACAAAAACGTTACTGTAAGCGTTTGAATTATCAAACTGCTGAAGTTCATTATTTGCGATTTTTTTTTTCAAAGGTGCGAAGATCTGGCAACTTCGAAATCATCAGAAACCGAAAACCCAGCTGCGCAAGTGGCACCGAAAATCGATGAGAAACCTGAACCGATACAGAAACCTATCGTTGAATCTAGTAAAGTAGAACCATCGCTGCCGAAATCGATTCAAAAAACAGAAGAGAAAAAAGTGGAAGAGCCAGCAAAGAAACCACTGGCAGAAATGAAATCTGTTAGTTTAATAGAGTGGCCACCATTGCAAGCATCAGTTTAGCTAATCTTTATGAACTGGAACGTTACGGGCTAAGTCTGGCTGCGAGAAGTACAATCCATTATTGACTTAGATCACAATCGTGGACGTCGTATATTAATGGATGGTATTCGCAACTCAAGAAACGACCAACCGGATAACTTCCGAAGGAGAGCTTTGCAGATATTTAGATGAAGTATAGAACATTTTGAACGCTTGGCATAGCTGAGCCAGATGTGTAGTTACACTTCACTGAGGTTTAGGAAGGATGTAGATAATGTGATTGTTGTTTGTGGCGAAGTTTTACCAGTTATATTCAACTTCTTTTTTTGGTAAATTTACCGCATTTTTAGGAAAAATTAGCCGAAGGAACGGGTAAAACAGAAACCGAGAAGTCTAGAAATGATGGCGATTCGCAGCAGCAGCAGCAGCAGCCAGCAAGGCGGCGGTGCACCATACTGTGAAAGTTTTTACCGAGATTAATTCATCAGTGCACAGACATACTGGACTTGATATTTATCGTTTTTTTTCTTAGTCTTCCACCCGCTCCAGTGCTGCGGGCTTTTGTTTGTTTTTTTTTTTTTTTTGAGAAAAATTCGATGCAAACAATTTACATATGTTTTTTTTTTAAATTTTAACCTTTAGTTTCGAACTATTGAAGAACTCTTGTTTCTTCATGCGAAATTGTCCATTATCAGAATTTCGAACGGTTACTTCCCCGGTACAGTTTAGCAGTGAGAGCATGAGCCGATTTCGTCAAGGTGGACCTAATGTATACCCGTTATTGCTCAGAAAACTTGTGTTGATAAAAAACATTTTATATTTTTTATACTTTTGACAGTTCACCACTAAACTGTCAGTAAATGATGAGGAAAATTGTTCACTGTGCTTTTCACAGAAATTATGAAAATTGCTTCATCATTTTCTTTACCCTACTTCATGCGATCCTAACGACTTGTGAAAATCGTAGGATTGCGTTCATCACTGAATGCTGATGGTTGCTCATATATGTACGACCTGTCTGCGAAAACTAGTTAGTGCACTAATCATTGCTATCGGTCCAGAACTTGTATCACTGTGAATTGTTAATTTGCATAATTCCTCTACTGAGCACAGACGCATTATATTTGTAATAAAATTCATTGTTTTCTGTCGTTGATGCTCCTATAAAACTCGAATTTGCATTATCGCGAATAGGGAGGACTTCGCTTCTTATGAAACCTTTTGAGATATTGCATTGCAAAACATTCATACTGAGCGCTGAATTTCAAAAGAATTGAAAAGAAAATAGCGGCACGAACCAGAGTAGCTGGTACAATCATGCGTTTTGCGCGGTTCCGTCAAGCGGACGTTTACTGATGAGAATTTACACTGTTTTACATTTTCATGCGTGCAGAAACAGACGATATGTTGTCTAACTCCCAAACTGCGAAATTCCCACTGAAAATTTCAGGCACCGCTAGATGAAACGTAGGCGCATGTTAAAGCAGAATTTGAAACATTTGGATCTTACGTGAGCGGGGAACATCCTTGCAAAATTTCAGCGTCCTAGTTCCCCAGCTTCCGAGTTAATAATTTTAGCGCAAAAACTTCCGCATTGCCGTACGTGAGATGTAGGCATATGTGGGAGCTAAGCCTGAGATTGTGAGATCCTTACATAGGCAGGAAGCAATAGTCCTGAAATCTTAGCCTCCTAATTTTTCTGGTTCTCGAGATAATTTTTTCCACCAGAACTTTCTTGAGATCGGGCTTGAGACCCAGACGTACTTGAAAGTTGAATTTGGATTTCCGGGGATGCATGCGGCGAAGGAGATGGTTATAAAATTTCATCTTCTTAGCTTTTGCGGTTCCCGGGATAATAGTTTTTACCACCAAAAGTATCACGGAGCCGTACGTAATACTTGTGCATGCGTAAAGGCTGAATTTAGATTTGCGGGGTTGTACATGAGCAGGGAATGTTGCACCAAAATTTCAGCTTCTCAGCTTTTGCTGTTCCTGACTTTAAATTTCGAAACAAAACGCATTCTGACACGCACAAATATACACATTCAGATTAAGTTGTACAACGTGGGTTTTGTACTGCTGTTACGTAGCGAAAAATGCATAAAAAGAAAATTGTTCAGGACGGCTGCATCAACGGAGGAGGGGAGCAGCCTTACTAACTGTAACGGTACATTTTGAAATTCCTTTTCCATTTATGAAACTGGTATTTCAGAACAATCCACCCCTGTATATTTGAACATCGGATAATTCTATTACTAAAACTTCAACAAATGAGTGAAAAAAATTCAAAAAAGTAAAGATGCTTTGGCTCCGTTCAGTGGAATTGATCTTTAAGAAAAATGCTGCCTATGAAGGCATCTAGCATGCATTATGTGTGTCCCCGTTTAGAAGCGGTTTTTGCGCTGAGAGTTATGAAGTGAGTGATAAAAAACCTGCCTAGCTACAGTCAAAGTGAAGATTTCTAGTGCATATGATTTTTTAAAAATCTCAGTAGAAACAAGGACGAAGAAGCGGTGGGGGGAGGTGGGACGAAGGGTTCTAGCGCAAATTAAACGCTGCAGCCGAAATGACAGCCGATTAAAATATAAAAGGAAATACTAGAGGGAATGCATTTTATCTATGCGAGGCAAACGGGAGCGTGATAACGCTAGCTGAAGAGTGGTCGCAGAGTCACATGTCAACCTAATTTACAAAAGCAGGATTTTTTTCGAGGAATATCATTCGACTTTCACAGAGATGCACTTTTATCGGAACTGTCCAGCACTTTTTATGTGCTATTCAACAGCAAGTTCCACTGAATAGAAGACGTAGAACACCTCACATGCCTTTTGCATATCAGCAGATAGTCGCAGCTATGCACATGAATACGACCAGTAGCTCCCTATCCATAAGTGAGCCAGCGGTTTTAGATTTAAGTAGCGCACACACCTATGCCACACGTACAGCCATTTCAAAGTTCGCATTTGGCACTGTGCCAACTCGAAAACTAGCTGGAAATTGTATACCTAAAACACATTTTAGTTTGCGCTTGTGTAATGAGTTAGGGCACTGTACACATATTTGTAGCGAAGTGGCTACTTTGCTTGCCGGACAAGATACGAGACTGTAACTTTGCAAGGATATTCTTTATTTGCGTATGACCTAAATATAACCCTGAAAGCAAAATTTCCTGCACAAGGATACGAGAAATACTCAAGTTTATCACAACCTAAAAAGTGAGCGCTCCTCACGAATTTTTGTAATCCATCTGCTTCGACATCCTATACATTGCCAAATTTACATTTTCCGATGAAGGGCATTCATCAGAATCATTGGCGACGCGCACCGGGCGGGCCCGTGCGATCAAGCGTTTTGCAGTATTTCGTGCTGTGATGAGATTGCTCGTAAATCTAGTTGCTAGGATTTGTGAAATACTGGTCCTCGAAGTCCAGGAAGTTGTCTACGCGGTACTTAGACACTTTTCCAACTTCTCCGGTTCCTGAGTTAGCAATTTTCCTGCCAAAAAACTTCATGGCTCCGTACATGAGAACCACACTTATCTGGGAGCTCAATTTGATATCTTTAACTTTTACGGGGGCTGGGAACAGTCCCTTAAAATTTCAGCTCCAAGCTTTCCTACTTCCCAAGTTAGCCATTTTCCCGCCGAAAAACTTCACGAGGCTGTACGTAATAACCACGCATACCTAGGGGCTGAATTCAATAATTTTAAGTTGTACATGTGCTGGGAACATTCCCTGAAAATTTCAGCCTCCCAGCTTTCCTGGTTCCCAAGTTAGCGATTCTCGCGCGAGGAACCCTCAGTGGGCCATGCACGGGAACCACGCAAACCTGGAGGCTGAATTTGAAATCTTTGAGTTCTATGAGGACGAGAAACATAACCTCAAAATTTCAGCTTTCTAGCTTTTCTGGTTCCCGAGTTAGCGATTTTCCTGCCAAA